TGTATCGATAAGTGCCCTTACTTACTGTCTTCTGCTTTTTGTTTGCGTCTATATTAATTAATAGTGTTTGAAGAAACACTTCATCTAGGAAATTAGTGCTCGCAAGTGATACGTTTTGTGTTTCCTCTTCTTTATTCTTTTCAACATCATTGCTCTTTTGATTGGTGGGCAAATCCGGACACATGACACCCCAATGTCTTTTCGAGCATATCAAACATCGTACATTTGTCTTGCATTGCTTGGCCCTGTGTCCAATTTTGAGGCAGAAGAAGCAACCCTTCTTTTTCTTAATTTCATCATTCTTTTGACTCAGAGGCATCTTCTGAGCAACAAAGCAATCTCGACTTTCATGAAATTTTTCACAAAATATGCAAGAATTCTTCTCACTATAATTGGTTGCTTTATTTTGGCCTGAGAATAAATCATTTGCTGTAGGCACGAAATGTTCACTCTGGTACTTTTTATCTTTTCTACTTTCTCTCTTGGCACCCGAATCAATTAATTTAAATCCAGCTTTTGCCAAAGAAATTCTCTGCTCTCCTTCCACTTCATTCTTTAAAAAAACAATAATAATTGTTTCAATTTCTCAGAGTGAGAATTTTCTGCTGTAATTATTGATGCATAATTTCTAATCCAAACTCGTAAAATTTCCTCGGGAATGCAAGATTCCACGAGCGGAAACAGCATTGCAGCGTATTTATCGCTTGTCATTCCTATTGACTCCAACGAACGTAAATACGACTCTAACTTGTCATACAATTCTGATATACTGCATTTTCCCTTTTGATCAGTGACATTTTTAATAATCAAACCTAATAATTCCCGAATATAGAATTCTACCAACAATTCTTCCCTGCCAAACCTATTTTTTAAGCTTTCTATAACTTTTTCATAATTTTCGGCAGTTGCAGGGAAGCTGTTTACAATATCCCGTGGTCTCGTACCGGGTACGGTCGCTTGAACGAGATAATGCATCTTATCCTCGTTTTGAATTTCTTTATCTTCATGTATTCGCCGAAATTGCCCCCAAAACGGTAACCAATCTTTAATTTCGCCACCGAATTGTTTTAACTCAATTTTAGGTAATTTCAGTTTCCGTTTGTTCGAATTCGGCGGAACACTGCCTATGGATAGTGTCGTTTGGCGATTGAAGAATAATTCCGTTTCTACTCGTATTAAATAATAAAATTTTTCTTTGTATTCTTCAATTTTCGCCCATTCACTTTCAAACTGATCATTTGAAGAAAATTCCGAATTTAATATTTGAGTATCAAATGCATTAAGTTCAACAGATAAACGTTCTAAAGTAACAAGTTTCGTTTTTACAGATTTTGCATCAGGAATTTCCTTTTCTAATTCTTGCAAAATTGCATTAATTGTTCTCGTAAAAGACGCTCTGACAGGTTTTCGTTTCTCAATTAACGATTCCATTTCAATAAAAATAAATTCAATAAAGTCAAATAGAATTAAATTCGATAAAACCAACAAAATTACCTTGACTTGTTTTACCGATCACTTCCGTCGTCACCAAAATTGTTCGAGATTTGCAAGAACTAACCGTTCTCCTTTCTCCTAATAAACTTAAAATAAAATAACTTTACATATAAAATTCTACAGCGTCATATTTATTTTCAAAATCCATAGAACTACAAGAAACTACAACAAAAATCAGATGGTTGCCACTCTTACAGTGATAAACTATGAAAAGAAAAATAACAACTGAGGCTGAGTTCTAACAGTAGGTATGGTATTACTAGACAGCACAGCAAACAATATAGCAAAAAGAAAGAAAAAAAAATGTATTACGACCATTAACATCGTGAAAGACCAAAATGGTTGGGAAAATGTACAATGGAAGCATCACGCTAACAAGGGTTATGATACCCTCTAGCTGACATGCATGCTTGACAGCTGCGAAGGAAGCTTGCAACAGTGTCGTTAATCGCTTGTGGCAATAGCGTTCATGCCTGTAGTAATGCATGTCGGAGCTGGTGAAAGGTGCTTGGCGGCACACTATGACCTGCTATTCACCGTCCCAGACATGCTGTATGGAATTCAGGTCCGATGATCTTGCAGGCCACCGCAGGTATGTAATGATAACTCCACACCACTCGAGCTCTATGCGTGCAGGTGTCATTATCCATAAATATCGCATAGGTACTCACTGCAGCAATAAAAAGGAGCACAAGACGGTGCAGAATTTCGTCGCGATATTGGACGGCTGTGATGGAATCAAGTAGAGCTCGGTGTGGGCAGTTCGTTGCTATCCAGCCCGTATAAGCAAGCCTCCTCCTCTATAATGGTCTCTTTCGACAATGTTTGCATATCATTGTTGTTCGAGAATTGATCTGGGTGTTAAATCAAGCGCAATGCCAGCTGCGGTGCTGTTAGTGATCGACGACATTTTGCACATAGCAACAGGAAAGCGATCGTCTGCCGTTGTGGTAATCCTCCGACGTCCAGATCCACGTCTTCTATATGGGTTTTGATCCATTAGGTAACAATTCAACTACTGATTCAACAGCCTACTGATGACCCTACGATGCACATTTAGCTCTGTCGCAACAGCGGATTGTCTTGCACCATTCCGACAGCCCTCCAACGCATTTCATCGTGCAAATATGTTTTTGATTCATGTTTTCACTTTGTCTCCGATTACACGGAACTATCGCTGCTTGCGAACTAATGCATAGGTCCGGCATATCCCCTTTTAAAGAGATGTATTGTGACAGAAGGATTGCGTTTTATGCTAATTTTGGTTCCTATCTGCATTCGGCGATGTAACTTCTACCTCATACGTAAATTGAATATTTTAATTTCTCTTTTTACATTCATATCTTTCTTTTAGGGTTTGTTACTTATTTTTTAGTACGAGTTTTTGAACACATTACAATACCTACTAAGATTTCTTCATTTCTACTGTCCAGTAAATTCAATCTCGGCCGTTTTTATTGTTGGTACTGATACTTCTTAGGTCTCAAATCACCTGTAAATAATTAGAGAAGGGGAGCGCGCAGCTACTCAGCGAAATCATACACTGAATGTCAGCTCGTGTTTGTTTCGCTGTGATGGTTCGGTTCTTCTAGGCTGCGATAAATTTCCACAGTTTGAAGGGAAATGTTCGACATGACATTCGCAGGTAGTTGCAAGGGTTTGTCTTTCTTGGTAAGATGAAAACCATCACCCCGTGGATGAATACATTTTAAAATTTAGGAAAGCTCGTTCCCTGAACGCAATGAGGAAGGGAAAATTATAAGAAAATTTTTAAAATATTCTGAACTTGACGTGATAGCGAGGAAAATACGCGATGAAAAAAAGGATTAAAATTTGTCCTTAATAAAAAGAGATCATTCTTCGAGGGAGTCTGTAGATGCTATTTTTTTATTCTTATTCAGGTTCTCTGCGAAAAATATTCTTTCATTTATTACCGACGAATAATGAAAATACAACTTAACCCTTACTGATAATTTTAAATTAGGAATCATTTGTTCAAGTGGTCTTATAATATAAAAACAATCTGATTTGCATATTCCAAAATTCAAAATTACTAAACGTCTTGTTAAGATGTATTCTTTCGACACTTAATTAAGAACCAAACATAGATGGATTGCTGTTTCAGAAGGAAGAAAGTACTAGATCTGATGATAAACGTGTTGAAACACTTAAATTTATAAAAAATATTACTAGGTCTAGGGCAAGGGTAGTAATAGTGATCACACTGTTGGACAAGGATACCAACAATGATCATACTGCTGCTTAATCTTCGGCATACATGAAATGCTATTTTTCAGCATGAAAACGCATGACCACTCAGATAACATTCTTTGCATGCTTTGCAAAGCATTTCTGTGTTTCCTTAGCTAATACAGTCTCCAAATCTCTCTCCAATACAAAGTATATCTGTAGGATATTATTGGTTATAGAATTTATGCATTCGAAATAAATATGAACTTCAGCAAATATGGAACAACTTTCAGTGGATTTCATAGACTCTGCACATGATCTGTACTACTTAGACCAGTATTACAGTATTCTCTAGTTTAGTACCATACTGAGTAAATAAATGCATTGTTCTAGGCCCGGATTTAGATCTTCAGGGGCCTTAAGCACTTAAAAGATTTTGATGGCCTCCACACATGCTGTCATTCATAATAAAACCAGCAACGGGAAAATTTTGGGTGCCTCCTTTCTTGAATACCTAAGGGCCTCTTTTTGTGGTGCTCACTTTCCTTGATGCCCTAAGCACATGCTTATATTGCTTAATGGTTAATTCTGCATTGCATCACTCAACTTGACTGCCATGCTACTTACTTAAATCTGAGTATATTGAGTCATGGACTGACTACGTGAAACTATATGAAATTATAATTTTTTCAGAAAGCACTTCACTATTTGTGCGTCAGTTCTTGTCAAACATGATGCATTTTTCTGTGGTATTCCTTTGTGTAGCAGTGTATAAAATATGGACATATTACAATAATAAGCTGATACGCAAGCATATAAATATTATAAATTTCCAGTTAACTAAGACTATTTTTTAAATTTTTATCAAATAAGCTTTTATTTAAAACTCATAAAATAATTCAATTATTAAAAAAGTAGAAAAATAATTTATATATTTTAATGGGAGCAAAAAATTAAATAATATTCATAACAAAATTCATCTATAATTTTATATCAAGAATAATAAAAGCAGGAGTCTTCCTAGATAAATGTATAAAGTTAATTGCTTATACAATTTTGACTATGCAATTCGATTATTAGGTTTTGTTATTCATGCACCCACACTTCTATTATTCATGATATAAAATTGTAGATGAATTTTGTAAAGAGAATTATTTAAACTCTATTGTTTCTATTAAAAAATTATAAGTTTTTTTTTTTCTTTTAGTTCATTAATTATATTATAAATTTTAAATAAAATTATTCCATAAAAAATTGGCATTTTATCAATTAAACTATTAAACTGAAAAATCATTTCTCAACAAAGATTAACCATGCTTTTATTTCCAACAATTATTTTCGATCAGATCAAAAACAACCAGAGCTTTTGGAAAAAAGTCAAATTACTCTAGAATCTCCTGTAAGTTTCATTTAAAAGATTTTTTTACCCACTCTATCCAATGTACAAACAATAAAATTCTGTTCACAACATTTTATTTTTATGCAAAATTAAACAGTTATGTGTGCTATATTTTTCATTAATTCAAGATCAGTTTTACAAACATAACTATTATCTATCAGATTCTTTAGATCAACAATTTTTGCACTTTTGGGAGACGTTCTTTCATAATCTTTGAAAATTTCAACACTTTATAATGGATACATTTTTGAATGTTAGAAATGTAAAGACATGTAAAACAATATATAATAATTGCATATCTCATTAAATTAAGGAAATCAGCTCTGAATGAATCAATCTGAAATCAATCATAAAATGCTAAGAAATTTGTACATAAACTGGAAAATGGAAAAAATTAAAAAATAATGTGGAAAATTTTATTATAACGAAGTAATATCGTAACTTCAAAACCATGTTTTCAAGCAATGCCAAAGGAAGAAAAAATTCTGTCAAATTAAGGCATTTTTTTAAATGTTGAAAATCGCCCATTAATATTTTTTATCATTCCTCTTTTAAAACAGGGATATTACTATAATTTTAGAAAAGTTCAAAATTTTGTAAATGATATATTTTTAGATGTTGAAATTTTAAAATCATGAATGTCAAACAGTCGGAAAAAAATCGAGCGGTGTTCGAATATGAGAAATGATGCGAATTTCATATCAAAGATTTTTTGCAAACAATAAATTTCTGAGATTTTAGCTTATTTAAACAAAGATATATGCAAAAAAACATTTAAACTAAAAAAAAAAAAAAAAATTCAAACAAATTTTCAAAAATACCACTTTACCATATTGCATTGTCATTCACAAATAGTGTACATACAAAATTTCAACTCAATAACTTATCAAGAACATAAAAATCAATAACAAACATCATGAGTGAACTAAACAAACGCTTATAAAATGTATATTTTTATTTTTTTTTTAAAAAACTGAAATAATGTGCAATTAATTGCACAATCAAAATTATATAAAATTTTAAATTGCTATAATACAATGCAATTCTGAAAAAAAGACGTGTTTCATACAAAGCAGTTTTGCCACATAACTGACAAAGTCTTTTATAGAGTAAAATTATAATTATTAAATCTTTTATTTATAATTCTACATTATTTTCTTTTTTCTCAACAGGACAGTGTTCTAAAATCATAAAAATTTATGTGATGTTGCAAAGAAGAATAAAAAGAATCATATACTTTCTTTTACTTGGAAGTGCACTTTATTTCCTATTGAGGAGAAACCATGTTTGCTACATTATGAATTATGATGCCACCTTTAGCAAAACGAACATGAATACTGGTACACTAAAAAGTCAAACAGCTAGAAGTTTAGGTACTCATATTCCTATGCCAACAAATTTAAAAGGAAAAAAGTTACCTTTTCATCATATATTTGAATCTCGTGAAATAGGTTTTCCTATTGGCTTGCAAAATTCTGCGAGATCCACAAAACGAAAAATTATTCTATTATGGACACCATGGAATTCTATTCGTAAAACTATAAACTATTACTTCTTGCAACCAGGGAATAAAACCTTTGTTAAACACAACTGCCCTAATCCTAATTGTGTTGCTACACAAAACAGGAAGAATCTGCAAAAAGCTGATGCTGTTCTGTTTCATTTAATTGACACAAATGTTACTGATTTACCATTGCACAGGACACCTAATCAAATATGGATTCTGTACAATATGGAACCACCATGGCAGGTTAAGAAACATATGCTATCTGAAATACACAAACTGAAAAATATATTTAACTGGACTATGAGTTACAGAAGCAATTCAGATGTCATAGTAAAATATGGTATAATTATGCCTTTAAATAAAAATCAGCAGAAACAAGTGAATTTAGAAGAATTTGAACAAAAATCAAAAAATATTGTATGGTTTGTAAGTGACTGTTCAACTGACAGCAGGCGAGAAGAGTACGTAAATGAACTGAAGAAATTCATAGACATAGATACATATGGTAAATGTGGTGATCATAAATGTTATCCCTCACAATCAGCAATTTGTTATCATGCAATATTAAATCGCTACAAATTTTATTTATCATTTGAGAATGCTATCTGCAAAGACTATGTTACGGAGAAATTCTATAATATATTTAATTACAACATAATCCCCATTGTATTTGGAGGAGCAAATTATTCAACAGTGGCTCCAAAAGGCACATTCATTGATGCAAACGACTACCCACAACCTCGATTGTTAGCTAATGCTTTGAAAAACATTGCTAACAATAGAATGATTTACAGTGAAATTTTGGACCGAAAAGCGCAATTTCGAGCTTATCTGGATCCCTGGATGTGCAGACTATGTGATAAACTGCATACTTTACCACAACTATCTCTGCTAGCTGATGTAGAGAGATGGTGGCTAAAGGATGCTCAGTGTAAAAGGTGGAATAATATGAACCAAACTTATGTAAATACTAGTTTTTGATAAAAATAAATAAAACATTTCAATATCTTTTTTGGAATACAGCTGGAAATTACATCTGCAATTTTATAAATGACTATTTCTAAATAAAGATAACTTTTAAAAGCTAATTTCCTTCAATTTCTGATTAGACATAAGCATCTTAAATATTATTTGTTAAATTAGCATGTCAATCAGTAAAGCAGCTTTTATAACTTTTAATATAATATTATTTGGATTGATTCTCAAAAACAAGACTGTTAATATCATTTAAAATTCGAGTTTAGAAGATGTAGTATTTCTTTTAAATGTTTGCACATAACCTTTAATTTAGAAGCCTTGTACATAATATTAAACATACTAATGATTTATTCTACTAGCAAGGTAAATCCTATGCTGTAAAGTTTGATCAAGACAAATTATAAACTATATGGTAAATGAGAATACTTTTCTAAGTTATTGGGAGGAGGGGAACATTTATTTTTAAATCTTAGCATTATAAGTTGGCATTACATTATATTAGTGTTTGATTATGGCAAAACACTCAAGTGCCTAAGAAGAGAGATGCTTTCATGGAGGACTTGAAATAGGCTCTTATACATGTTATACATGGAGAAAACCATGAAAACATTCATGTTGCCAGCCTGTTCGCCTGAAATCAAACAAAGGTTGAATTACTAGTGTTCAGCAACTTTACCACTCTGCCACTTGTGAGCCCTTTCTTCTGTCGTGCATAACTATGAATTGTCTGTTGCTGAGGTAACTTTTAAATAACCATAAAAGATTGTTTGGAACGTCAGCTGTGTGCACAGCTTCGAGCACAGCAGGCCACCAAATCTGAAGCTCAGGAAACAGTCCAATGTTTATATGTGAAACCTCAACTGCACATCAGCTGGGTTTTGTTTACTTTGTATCTCCTGCTCATACACCCAAACGTATCACTGGAATCGGAAAGTGTTGTCTCCTTATGATGTGGTGATATGGGTAACATGCAGATGTGCATACACTTGCTTCTTGTCACCATAGAAAGAAGTTTTAAACAGAACCAGTGACCTGATTTTATGCAGTTAATATCTGCTATCACAAGCCTGAACAAGAAAAAGCAACAGCTATCTCTTTCCAGAGTGAAAGCACCTTATTGCATAGAAATATAAAACTGTTCTAAAACTGCTCTTGTCATCTTTATTTGCTAGATTCAATACATAAAGTATAGTTCCACTTCTAAGTTAAACTTCACCTCCACACACAATTTTGACAGCATGTTGGACACTAGCTAACATAAGAGCATTCCAGCAGCTCTTTCCCATAAAGGTATCTAGAAATTCTATTAACATGCCAACATAAGCATTGCATTAGAAGGAATACATGTAAAAAGAGAGCAGTTATAAAGCTTTCTTTTCAAACCTTGAACTCGTTATTTATGCATTCACAACGAAAATGTTGCAGGTGCTCTGTGCACGTAATTAGCAACCCCCCCCCCAAAAAAAAGTTTTAATCAAAAATGCAAAACCTTTTATTACATATACACATTTTGGCATGTTCCTGAGGGGATTTGTACAAATGCAATTAACAACTTAAATTTTATAGAAGTCATTTTTAATTTGTTTTACCTAAATTCAAACACACTAACAGCATGGACATTTTGTGGTTTTGCCCATGCGTAACATGGATGTGAGACAGTTTCTCTTATAAAGTCCTCCACAAAGGCATCCTTCATCTTAGGCAGATAGTTCTCGTAAACTTTGCTATACTCAAATGCTAACCAAACCATCTTTGTATTATGCTATCCATGCTTGCATCTCAACTTACTTATTTACAGTTTCAGCATGTCTTACCCAAAAACAATATTATAGAGAAAATGGATTTAAAATATATCAGTATCACTTGTTTAATAATATAAAATGGAAACTACCATACACATTCAAATGCTGCCCACAATTTTTATTAAAAAATTTCAGTGCAAATTTCCAAGTGTGGACAATACACGAGTCATTCAGTTTCTAAATTCAATAAATTGCATTTATTACCTCAAGGAACATCCACGTTAATCCTTGAACCTTGAAGGCACATTCAAAAGGTTTGGTTTCGCTTATTTTGATAATAGAGCTAACTTAGCTCAATGAAGGACTGTCATAAACTTTCAATGAGTAAAAAAGAGCAACATCAGTAAAATGCAATAAAACGAGGTATGAAAGCATTATAAAAACTGAATAACTAACACTAAAAGAAATTACAGCTTTTATTTTAAAATCTTCATTCTAACATTCCAATTGCAAAAACAGATGAAAAAATAAAAGAAGGCAAAATGAAAACAAAAATGTTTTGTAATCAAAGTATATGAAAGTTTAATGAAGCATTCAATTTACAATGGCATATGTTATATGTAAATGGTATTACAATGGTAAATGTTTAATAAAACATGATTTTTATAACAAAGGGAAAGAAATGATAGATAATTCATACAATGACAAATCAGAAATTCTCTTCAGTATTTCCTAAAATATGTTACAATCACAGGCTGCTTTATAAACCATAAATTTTTAAAGTCCTATCCATGCTAACAGAAGCTACAAAATGTGCATGCTGTCCAAATCTAACTCCAGTTGCTAGAGCTGTGTGATCAGTAAAAGTCTTCAAATTATCCCACTGCTTGCATAGGTAAATCCTAATTTCATAAAAAATAAATTAATTAACCATTAGTATAAAAATTTGCACAAATAATAAAAAAAGTTCTTAACATGATAAACTGAGGAAACACTGCAAATAGCAGAAAAGGACATAATTTGTCCAAATGAATCATTATTCGGTATATATTATCATTTCAGATAAAACATACACTATTTCACTTTTTCAATACTTACTCCCAAAGAAGGCATACTATATACATGATGTAAATTAAACATTTTATAATTACAACTGCAAAATTATGTGATTTTGTTCCTTTGGTAATAGTTGTATTCAATTTATTACCACATAATTAGCTTTTTTGCACCCACTTTCATAAAAACAATTCTTTGCTAAAATCTAGGGTGACTTTATATTGTTCCTCCGATATCAAATATCCACACAAAACTTTAACTTGGTGTCCACAATATGAACAATTAAGTGCTAATTACAAGAACTGCTTAATACATAAAGAAAAGAAACAATATAGCACTATCCATCCAGTTAATCATCAGACAAACCATGTAATTAATTTGCAGTAGGAATCTAAATTTGGACTGCATTTAACACTTTCGTGCTGACTGTCGCACATACGTACCAACCAGAACTCGCTCATTTCCTGGCCTGGAACATTTTAAAGACTACTGGATGGCGTCCTCTGCCCATTACTTTTGAACTGAATATAATTTTACGATCCTGACCTTCAATTTGATCACATTCTGTACAACACTGGTGCCAGCTGTTGCAAGGGGAAAAGCAAAGCATAAACAAAGTTCGGCTCCTTAACACCCCATGTGATATAAACATTCACGTTTCTGATATCTCTTAAAATCCCTTTCTTTCTACTATGTAGGGTCTTTTAGAGTTACTATGTGGGGTTCTATTTCACTTTGTATTGCTTTTATCACCTATATTTCATGTACTTCCCTTTTTATTTGGGAAAGTCTCGACTTAATTTTATTATGTCAAGTAAGCATTATTTATCAGATGAAGGATATATTCAAATGGTAAACTAACCTATTAGTGACATGACTAACAGTGATGATTCATTTTCTAAAAAGAGAGCGATACTTCCAAGAGATTCTCATATAGACATTTTGTTAAAGACTGAGCTCATTGAGTGTCTGCCTTCCAGATTATTCCAGATTCCAGTGCCAGAGATTTTGTTATTTCTTCTTATTTTATTAATAGTCCTTCTTGTATTTTTTATTAATTTTAAAGCTTATTAATGTATTTTATCAAATAAAAATTTTGGAATAATTTGAATAGGGCTTCTGGAAAACTATTTCTCAAAGTAAACAATTATTTTTAATTATTTTAATATATTTTTAGTATTGAAAAGATCATGATAACTTTAGTAATAATCCAAAATTATGACCAAATTAACCAAAAAATTATAATGTTTGTGTTTTTGTGATACCCCCCCCCTAAAGTTAGGTTTAGTAGATACAAAAACCTCTTCCTGGGAGACAACTCTTTTTGACTCCCATCCGTCCCAAAAGAACATCTTGAACAAAGGTGTGCTGTCTCAAAAAGGACTATGAACAAAATTTCTCATCATGTCAAAACATGAAATGATTCAAAAGTATTTAATGCAACTCAAAAGACAAAATATATTACTTTATGCTCTGAATTTTCACTTAAATGCAAAATTTAGATATTGGCAAAAGTATAAGCAGAATTTTACATAAAGACAATGATTAAAAAAATATCTCGAAAAACATAAAGATGGGCAGGAGGGATTAAAATACACAGATTTTATACTAAATAGAATGTGTATGAGGAAATGGTGGTTGGTGTGGTATGAGGCACAGCTTAAGTGGTAAATCAAACAGTTCTGCTAACACAAAGTGTCATTCCTTATGCAGGTTTTGAGTGATATGCATTATCAGTGATATACATTTTATTTATGGGGCTACAGATGAAAACGAAACAGCTTCTCAAAGGAGATACTCGGGAATCTTTCTCTGTATCTCTTGTGAGTAACTGCTATATTTTAGCAGAATCTCATAGACAAAATGCAAGTCAATGAACTTCATATTCATATAGCAATGCACACCATTCAAAATGTGCACAGTAAAGGAGAATTTATGCTAACAGAAATTTCTGACCTACCACTCAATAGCACCCTGTACCACCTGAACATCCTCTTGTGCACACACATCCCATTAAAAAATCAACTTATTTCAGTTCCCTCTACCTGATTTTACATTTTTGCCAGATACCTTTTAATCACCCTGCATGCACTAAAATAGAAGAGCACACCTCTAAATTGTTGAAAGAAATTTCCACCTTATTAAACAAGAAGCAAGCTATACAATCAAGCAAAAAAAAGGGGGGCATTCAAAAATTTAGAAAATTTACTTCATGTTTGTGCATTTAACACATTTATTAATGATACTTTCATAACACAAATGAAAACAACTGAAGTTGCAGTTATCTCACACTATAAATTATATGCTAATCACAACATGAATACATTAATGAATTTTATATCTGCATTCAATCTAGCAACAAGAAAAGTCAGTTTTCTTCTGCCCTTATTTCACAGAAATGAATAATGCAGGAACAATTTCTTTTTATATGATTATTCTTAATATCAATATGTCATAAAATCCATGCATTTATTAAAACTGCTAAAAACTTTAAAGTGTCCTTGAACATTTCCAATTTTCAAGAGATTTTAATGAACTTTTTCATGACAATAGCACGTGTTCTTTTATAAATTTATTCAAACTTATATTCCAATAATAGTTTTACGTATAATTCAGTTACAATATAATTCAATTTTAAGATAAAACTGCATGTTACTAGTTTGATCAAATATTACCAGACAAGATGAAACGAATACAATTTAGGTAACAGAATCATAATATATTTTAATACACTATAAATGACCATTAGCTTAATTTTACACATTAAACTAGGCTAATGATAAAAAGCATAAAAAGCATATCAAATTAGTAGTATTATTCTCCACCCCAGCAATTTCAAAAAAAAAAAAAAAAAAAAGAAAGCATTGGTCTTTCATACCAATTAAAGGTGTAGATGAATGTATCTTAGCAGTAATCGTTATATCCAGATGATAATAGACATTAAGCTTTTTTTATTTGAAGTATTAAATTTCTGGCAAAATTAAATTCTTAAAGATATTTAACAGAAAACTGAGACATTTAGCACAGCATCAATGAATTATTGACAGTCAAATAAATTACTGACATATCGAATGAATTATTGCCAAATTTCAAACCATATACATAAATAAGAAGCTATAAGATAAAATATAAAAATTTTCTATCCCTAAGTTCTAAAAATCTTATATTCAAATATAATGAAGATAAAAATAAATATTTAAAATGCTTACCTAATATCAGACCCAGCCACTGCAAGGTAAGTTCCACTTTGATCAAAGCATAATGATTTAACCTGCAATATGAATAAAAAATTGAGTCTTGACATCTCTCTCTATATATATGTATATATACACACATACATACCTAAGTTCAAGAGCTAGCATATATATATTCATATGCTAGCTCTTGAAATACCAATCACAAAAGGGGGAAGACACGGAAATCTGTATTAAACAATGACATGTAATTTTTACATATGCACGTAAAGGAATTAAGAAATAATATTAAATTATGCTTTTGGAACTTTTGACTAAAGTTGTAAATTGCATGTCTATTATTAATAAGTATTGAGAATTCTATCAACATCATATTTGAAACACAACAACAAGATAAGTCTTCTATGTACAATATTTCTGTAGCAGTCAGCATTATTAGTTGTTTGGCACTATGTGAGAAAATGAGGTAGCACTATTCCAAATTATCTTTATTACAGAACATACGAGTTACTGATAACATCCTATGCTTCCCCAAAATAAATTATATGAATATACACCAAAAAGCAAAAATTGCAGAGATAGTTGTATCACTTTATAATATTTTCTTTCATATATTTTTTAATTATCCTCTCCTTCTGTAGGCATAAATTAATTTATAATAAACTACAACATAAACTGAATTATTGCAGAATATCACAGTAATTAAAAATCAATAATAAAATACATATTAGCAAAAAGAAAAATTGAAAAGGAAAGAAAAAAATGCATTATTGTAAACTTACTTCATATGCTTCATCAAGAGTAATAGTTTTAAAATTTTTCAATTTTCGTAAATCCCACAGTTTAACAACTGAATCATCAGCAGATGTAGCTAAATAGTATCCATTTTCAGAAAATGCTATAGCAGATATAGGACCAGAATGACCAGGAAAATTAGCAACATTAGCTCTTTCTTTTAAATCCCATATCTTAATCAAAGAATCCGACGTGCCAGTACCAAAAATTAAACCGTCTGGATGAAATTGTGCAGTTGTCAAGGCTACAAATAAAAAGGGAAAAAAATGTTCACCAATAAAATATTAGACTGAATTCATAGAATCCTCACATTTTTTTAAGGACAATACTTTTTTCAACATTCACCATCTTCACTAATTTCAGAAAGACAAACACATAATAACAGAACAAAACAAAAGAAACTACACATAAGCTATTATGATATTATAATCACATATCACAA